TGTACGACAGACAGATGCAGTGTTTGTGTAGGAGTGCAATCAGCACTCGCTCATTTGCATTCCATAATAAACAATAAACAACAGAACAAACGTCTCCAGCTTCATTAACAGACGCTGATTTGCGGACGCTTCGCTTCGGGGAGCTCTGATTGTTCCTTCCTGACGGAGACGCTTAAGCATTAAATATTCCACATTCATGAGTGAAAAGGCCTTGGGCTTTGATCAAATGCTGTGTGTCACCTGTGTGGCTCCGGCAGAGCGTTCATCATCAAATATTAAGAGACCTGGAGGTGAAACTCTCGCCTTTACATCAGAGGAAGTGCATCAGTTCAGATCTCACATGACAAACACAGAACAGAGGCTTTATTTGTGTACAGCGAGGTCTGAAATGTCACCAGCAAAACTGTTTGGCGTATTTTGCATCTTCTGAAAACACATTATTTTGTGATTAGTGTCAGAAAATAATCTGCTACGGAATCATTCAAATTCAGTAATTAGATTCAGTTTAGAAACTGATTCACTGAAAAGTGACTCAAATGAATGACTCATTAACATTTAGAAACTGACTCATTGAAAAGAGTGACTCAAAACAATCACTCAATAATCTGATTGATATTTACTGTGGATAAATACATAACTGATTTACTGCAAAGAGTGACTCAAAAGAATTACTCAATAATCTGATTACAACGTTTACAATCATATTTAGAAACTGATTCATTGAAAAGAGCAACTCAAAGAATGACTCATTACCATTTAAAAACTGAATCATTGAAAAAAGCAACTCAAAAGAATCACTCAGTCTGATTACAATATTTAGATTTAGATTTAGAAACTGCTTCACTGGAAAGAGCGACTCAAAAGAATGACTCATTAACATTTAGAAACTGAATCATTGAAAAAAAAGTTACTTAAAATAATCACTCAGTCTGGTGGTTTTTGATTGATATTTAGGAACTGTTTCACTGACAAGTGACCCAAAAGAAGACTCATTAACATTTAGAAACTGATTCATTGAAAAGAACGACTCAAAAGAATCACTTATTAACATTTAAAAACTGATTCATTGAAAAGAGCAACTCTAAAAAATCACTCAATTTTCTGACTACGATGTTTGAATTCATATTTATAAACTGCTTCACTGAAAAGAGCGACTCAAAGAATGACTCATTAACATTTAAAAACTGAATCATTGAAAAAAGCAACTCAAAAGAATCACTCAGTCTGGTGGTTTTTGATTGATATTTAGGAACTGATTCACTGAAAAGTGACCCAAATGAAGACTCATTAACATTTAGAAACTGATTCAATGAAAAGAGCAACTCAAAAGAATCACTCATCAATTTTCTGACTACGATGTTTGGATTCATATTTAAAAACTGATTCACTGAAAAGACCAAGGCAAAGAATGACTCATTAAAATTTAGAATCTGATTTATTGAAAAGAGCGCCTCAAAAGAATCACTCACTAATCTGATTACAATATATTTAGATTCATATTTAGAAACTGATTCACTGAAAAGAGCGACTCAAAGGAATCACTCAGTAACATTTAGAAACTGATTCGTTGAAAAGAGCGACTATAAGGAATCACTCAGTAACATTTAGAAACTGATTCGTTGAAAAGAGCAACTCGAAAGAATCACTCAGTCTGATGATTTTTGATTGATATTTAGAAACTGCATCACTGAAAAGTGACTCAAAAGAATGGCCCAATAACATTTACAAACTGATTCTCAGAAAACAGCGACTCAAAAGAATCATTCAGTAATCTGATTATGATAGTTAGATTTATATTTAGAAACTGACTCATTGAAAAGAGCGAATCAAACGAATGACTCATAAAAATTTAGAAATTGTCTCAATGAAAAGTGTGACTCAGTAGCATCACTTAATAATCTGATCATGATCTTTACTGCAGATCAATATAAAGAAACTGATTTATTGAAATGAGTGACTCAAAGATGTACAACTCAAAAAGATCACTCAATAATAGAATATAATATTTAGACTAATATTTTTTTACGCTACAGTTTTTTTTTTTTTACATATTATCAATTTGAGACAAAAAAAATTCCATCTTTAATTCAGAACCTTGTCAAACTCTCTTGCACAGACAGATCATTTCTCCTCATCAATTCTCAGTGTATCACCAAGAGCCACTTTTATTATTAATACTGTCTTTCCTGTATGTGTATTTCTGACTCTCAAAGTGCCAGGAGCCATTGACTAACATTTCATGAATCCCCAAACACAACGATTTTAGCTAACAATCTACTTTAACGTTTATCTAAAGAATAAAGTAATACTGGATGGTCTGAGAGTGAGTAAAATCTCTTTAAGGATCATTATTTGGCAACTTAATGGCTGTGCTCACCCTTTCATGATTGACAGCTGCCTTCCCCTCTTCACTTCTTTCATCCATTTCGTCGTCGCTCCATTCCCAGTCTCCGTCTTCAGTTTTGTGCAGGTGTCCACTCGACCCTGGGACCCTTCTGACCTGCGCAGGTGAACAGGACACGTGTCAAACTCACTATTTAGGACAACCGTCATCTGACACTAACAGGTTTCTCATTCGTTTCTCCATAGGCACTGAGATGAAACACAAAACTTTGATTTGAAGCAAAAACTTGAGAAAAATTTTCAGAAATTAATCACTGATAGTTAATGGATGTTTTTTTAGTATCATCAGATATTTTGATGTGTGTGTCTGCGTGTGTGTGTGTGTGTGTGTGTGTGTGTGTGTGTGTGTGTGTGTGTGTGTGTGTGTGTGTGTGTGTGTGTGTGTGTGAGAGTGTGTATGTGTGTATACACCTAGAGGGACAATTTATAGTAAATTTGAATACTTTTTCAAATATTTCCCAAGTGTTTCACATAATTTCCTTCTTTATTTCTGTGCAAACACAGATACACAGAAATGAAGTCTTTGAAAGCTGTGTAGATCAGTGGATCCATCAGCGGATTACTCATATGTCAGCTAATAGACAGAACAGCAGATCTACACCACTTTAAAATACTCCAGTGTCTGTGTATCTGTGTTTGCACTCAGCCGTGACCTTTATAGCCAATCAGAGTCATTTCTGTTGAACACATGAACCCAATGGCCAATCAGTGGTGTGTATGTTGTCATCAGTAGGGATGTAACGGTATCAGAATTTCACGGTACGGTAATACCTCGGTATGAATGTCACGGTACGGTATTTATTGAATCATTTACAGGAAAAAACAAAACTTATGAAAATACTCCGAAAAAGTGCCAAAAGTGTCAATGACATACAAATTAGCCATCTATCTGTAAGCTTTTTTTAAATTTTAATAACAAAAAATTATTAAACCATGTAAAAAAATAAAGTTTCAATTTAGTATTGTTGAAAACTCATCACATTCAACATTTAATCACTCACTCACTTACTTAGATAGAGATGGGTTTAAAGGAAAATTATCATATAACTATAATCTGGTAAAAGCTGGTATCTCTGGGTATTTACAATGTCCCCTGCAACAGAAAAAAACCCTCTCATTAGGGACTGAGGTTTCTGGGACAAAGATATGACTTGGCCCATGTTGACAGCAGTGGGTAACGTTGTGCATTGTCTTTCCCCCACTTGAGAAGACAAACCATGAGTGAGATAGAGATCTCTTTGCGGTACAAGTCAATGTCTGCATCAATCTGAACAGTGTGCTGTGTTTCTGCAGTCCCCATGACTGCTATTAGTCGTATTCCCCAACTTGCAGGCACGTGCACACATAGGGCTCAACCTGTGCAGTGCACATGCCCTTTTTAGTCTTGGATAGAAAATGCCCTTCCAAAACGATCAAAAGTGCCCCCGCGACGCGTCACAACCTCCGTCCAGCCCTTCAGTAGGTGCGCGACAACACCGCTCTTGAGTATGCGCGCTCAACCCCCCCTCGGCGCTTTACAATACGCGCGCGACTACACAGCTGATCAGAACGCGCGCGACAACACAGCTGATCAGAACTCGCGCGACAACACCGCTATTCAGCACGCGCGCGGCGACAACACCCGCTTTAGGTTCGATCATTTCCATCTTTTTTTCCATCTCCGCTACTAGCAGCACACTCCATTTCCGCATTACTGGATCTGTAGCGACAACAGACCGCAAAGGATTATGGCCACGCCTGGGCTGATGGGAAATGTAGTTTCAGCTACCTCCCATTCGCTTCATTCGCCTGAGCAAATTTTCTCAGAAGACCTATAGTTTTACCGAGTCATGCGACTTCGGTAATATCGAAAAAAATTAATATTGCGGTATGACGGTATTTACAATACCGTTACATCCCTAGTCATCAGTGCTCAAATGTTAGCAGGAAATAAACATATAGTAAGAACTGACTTTAAAATTTCAGTACCGATTGATTGGTACCGAACTTTTGAAAAAACTACTCATGATGTTAGCCTGATCACTTTTTTTTTTCCCTGTCTGATTGACCCACACGACTGGGTTCACACTAAACATGGCAGACAAATTCCAGACATTCGCTGCAAATGCGCCACATATTCTGCAAATGCTTAATTCTGCTTTTATCGCTGCCTGCTGGTTCAAAGTACTTTAGTCAGCGTCAGAAAGTGAATGCACTGGGGCGCTGTCTTTGCACATGTCAGTGTTTACGAATAGATTACATCAAAAATAAACATGAGTAATCTTGACAAACTGTGGGGTCTATTTTAACGATGTAGGCACAAATTCTAAAGCGCATGGCGCAAAAGCATTAAGAGCATGTCCAAATCCACTTTTTCGCATGGTCTAACAGGCCTGTGCTTATTCTTTTATTGAGTTATGGGTGTGTTTTGAGCATAACGTGCACTAAACCAATCAGAGTCATCTCTCATTCCCTTTAGGAGTTAGTTGCGTCGCACTGGCGCATTTGCTATTTTTTGCGAGACTTTGCGAGCGGAAAAACTGAACATTTTACTAGCGACAAAACAGTTAAACAGACCATCTGCAACCAGGATAAAGAACGAGCCTCCTTCAATGGGCTGCTTTACGTTCTCTACTTTACTTTTACTCTACTCCTTTATTTTCATGGATAAGGAAACAGTGGAAACTCACTCCACTGAAGACATCCATTTGCCTACATATTTAATTTTGTTTGTTAAGCGCAAAGATTTATTTTAAAACTATTTATAAATTCGGTTCTTATATCCAGCAAATTAATAAATGAACAATAATAATGAAGTGTGTTATATCTAGACCCCCAATTACGCAGATTTTCGGCAGCATTCCACAGATTTTTAGCCCATCATTAATTCTGTTTATTTACTTGAGTAAATGTATATTTATTAAGTTTTTAGATTAATTACAGTCATATTATTGACTAATATGAAAATGTTCATCTGATTTATGTACAATGCAGTTTGTACAGTAATATTTTCTGTCTTTTAGTAGATATATTATGAGAGACTTGCTTTGTTTACCAAATATAGTGAATCTAATTGGATTAGCATTTTAAACATTAAATAAAAGTTAGAAAGATATTATTTTTTATTTCACATATTAAGGTTTTAGTTATGATACACCTAAAATAATTTCGCAAAAATAGGCAGATTTTTTGCAAAATTCTCAGCAGAAATAGCAAAAATGTCTGCAGATTCAGTTAAACGGAGTTATATCTGAACACATGTCCTATTCTTATGTGCCATTTTTGATTTTATTTATTTATTTTTGAACAAAAACATCAGACATAAAATATCATTAACAAAAAAAAACATTTAAACATGATCGAAAATGGAGCGGGATGAAGCATAAGCTTATATTCTCCCACCCCATTACTACTCTTTTACTTATCTCTTCTTTTTACATGAAACATATTTTATCCTTTGGCATCATTGACAAATAAAATGTTTGATTCAATTGTACCTTTTCATTTTGTAACATACATACATAAAAAATACATAGTACTCCAAATAAAAAAAAACAACAACAACATAGTACTGCAAATAGCCATTAATTAAAGTTTCATCTTACCTTTCTCTTTTTATTCTTTTTCAATCACCTTCATCATTATATTACTTTATTAATATATATTTATACAGTTCTTTTAAATTGATAAATATCCTGACGTTGTTTTAGAGTCTGATCTATACTGTTCCATAGTTTTACACCACATACAGACATACACAAACTTTTTAAAGTTGTTCTTGTTTTCAACCTCCTAAAATTTACTTCTCTCAGATTATTGAATTATTAATGGTTATTCCTTTGTTTATGTCACTATTTCTGCTGGAGAGCTGTTGTTTACAGTGTTTACTAAGTAACGTATGCGCATAAATGAGGTCTTTGTAGTAAAAAGCAAGATGATGTCATAGCTTACAGTGTTTCAAAAAAAATTTAACAAGCCAGTCGAGTGTTTTGACGTTCTGCGTATGCTATCTGTCAGTCCCTTTTAGTCAGTAACTTACTTTCTAGTTTGACTGATGAAGAATTTAGCCAATGGCTGGATGATCTTTCAATATATGGTGACGTTTATTCATCTGTTGGACATGCTGTTGTTTTATTGCTCTTTTTTTGTCACTGGTTTAGTGTGGCTGTCAGTCACTTCATGTGCGTGACGCACCTGTCCTGCATGTTGTTAAGCTAACAGTTCAAGCTAACGGCAGAAAGGCGGGAAAAGCTCGGTTAATTAAAACACCTGTTTATGTGTGGACATAGCCTATGTTAATCTATAATGCAAAAGTGCTAGAAATAAATGTTGACTTCTCTATATATTTTACTGTTATATATTTATTCTACAGTGCACCCGGAAATTATTCATATCCCTCCACATTTTCCACATTTTTTTATGTTACAGCCTTATTCTGAATTGGATTAAATTCATTTATTTCCTCCAAAAATACCCCATAATGACAAAGAGGAAAAAAAATGTTGCAAATGTATATATAAAAAATAATAAATAAATAAATAAATAAACCTGAAAAATCGCATGTACAGATATATTGACAGCCTTTGCTGTGAAGCTCTAAATTGAGCTCAGGTACATTCTGTTTCCACTGATCATTCTTGAGATGTTTCAGCAGTTTATTGGAGTTCACCTGTGGTAAATTCAGTTGACTGGACATGATTTGAAAAGGCATACCTGTCTATATAAAGTCCCAGTGCATGTCAAAGCACAAACCAATCATGAAGACAAAGGAATTGTCTGTAGACCTCAGAGAAAGGATTGTAGTGAGCACAAGGATGGTGAAGGTTACAGAAAAAAATCTGCTGCTCTGAAAGTTCCAATGAGCACAGTGGCCTCCATCATCCATAAGTGGAAGATGTTTGAAACCTTCAGGACTCTCCCTAGAGCTGGCTGGCCATCTAAGCTGAGTGATCGGGGTAGAAGGGCCTTAGTCAGGGAGGTGACCAATAACCTGATGGTCACTCTGTCTGAGCTCCAGCATTCTTCTGTGGAGAGAGGAGAACCTTACAGAAGGACAACCATCTGTGCAGCAATCCACCAATCAGGTCTGTATGGTAGAGTGGCCAGACGGAAGCCACT